CCCGGCCGCCAGCGGGGCTGGAACCGCCCGGGCACCCAGGAGTTTTTATTCCCACCATAATTTTTCAATTTACAAGGCAATAAATGAAAGAGGAGGATGAGATCTGCTCAGCGCATTTTCCAGAAGTATTTACTGCTGAGAGCACTGCAAAAGCCATTTAAACAATTGCTTTTATGACACAACACACATTAAAGAAAGTTCCCTAATTTTTTTTTTCACCCCTCTGCCATTTCGTGCCGTGCTGCTGCTGTTGTGTTCAGCTCGCTGCTTTATGGGCTGTTTGGATTTTAATTGGGCTGTAGCCCCAGGGAGCAGTGAAATTTTGGAGACTCATTTAGCTCTGAGTGTGCTCACAGCTAATCGGGCAGAAAGGCTGGGTCCTGCCTTAATGTCTGCTGAAATTTTGTGAGCTGGAAGAGCCGTGTGGGGGGAACAGAGCACACCCTGTGGGTGAGGTGGGAACAGAGCACACCCTGTGGGTGAGGTGGGAACAGAGCACACCCTGTGGGTGATGGCCCTCCAGCCTGAGTGCTGGTGATCCCCACATCCCTGGTGGGGGGGATTCCTGGGGTGGGATTTAGGGTATGGGCACTACGGCCACTTGATGCAATGAGAACCAGACTGAGGCCTGGGATGTTCAGGAAAGGCTTTTTGCAAAGGAGGGGAGCCCACCCCTAGCAGCAGACAGGACTAAAGACCTCTGGAGCTCCCTCTGGTTTTTAAATTTATGTCATTAATTATAATTTAATTAATTATAATTTTATTAATTATAATTTTAATTAATTATAATTTATTATTTATTTGCATTTTTAGCCACTGTTCCCAGTGGCCAGTAAGGGATACCTCGGGAGAGGGACAGCCCTCCACTGCTAATGAGGGCTGGGAGCTGCATCCCATCTGCCATGTGGCCACAGGATCAGCAGCCTATGGAGACAGCCTGGCAGAGCTGGGGTTGTTCAGCCTGGAGAAGTCTCCAGGGTGACTTTAGAGTCCCTTTTAGTGCCTAAAGGGGCTCCAAGAAAGCTGGAGAGGGACTTTGGACAAGGAACAGAATGACAGGACAAGAGGGAATGGCTTCAAGCTGACAGAGGATATATTGGATACCAGGAAGAAATTCTTGGCTGTGAGGGTGGGGAGGCCCTGGCACAGGTTGCCCAGAGAAGCTGTGGCTGCCCCTGGATCCCTGGAAGTGTCCAAGGCCAGGTTGGACGGGGCTTGGAGCAACCTGGGACAGTGGAAGGAGTCCCTGCCCATGACAGGGGGTGGAACTAGAGGAGCTTAAAGGTCCCTCCGCCCCAAACCATTCCGTGATTCCAGGATGCTGTGACAGGGATGTGACGACAGTCCCAGGGACATCCCACCCTGTTGTGGCCCTGGCCGTGCCCCTCGGAGGGGCTGGGGCGGCTCCCGGGGGGTCCCCGCAGGGTCGGTCCCGGTCCCGCAGTTCCCGCAGCAGCCACCGGGCGGTGCCCGCGCCCCGCCAGCGGAGCGGACCCGGGTCCCGCCCCGGCACCGGGAGAGCCGGGATGGGGGGATTAGGGCAGAAAAAAACGTTAAAAGAGGCCCGTTGGAGGCCACAGCAACCGTGGTGGAAGGTCTTGCCCAGCAACTCCTGTCTCCGCTGGCCGTCAAGCTGTGGGATGTGTTTGCAGCCACGGTGGAGAGCCAGGGAAAGAGGGTTCAGCATCACCCAACCCAGCAGTCAGACCAGATGGGACAGTTTCATAGAATTACAGAATCATAGAATCTCTTGAGCTGGAAGGGACCCACAAGGATCATCCAGTCCAACTCCTGGTCCTGCACAGACACCCCAACAATCCCACCCTGTCCCTCAGAGTGTTCTCCAAACCCTCCTGGAGCTCTGGCAGCCTTGGGGCTGTGCCCACTGCCCTGGGGAGCCTGGGCAGTTCCCAACCAGCCTCTGGGGGAAGAACCTTTGCCTGAGATCCAACCTAAACCTGCCCTGACACAGCTTCATGCCAGTTCCCCAGAAGGGGATGTCAGCTCTGCTTCAAATCAGAGGCAGTTCCCCTTCAGACCTTTCCAAAAGAGATTCAACCCTTCACACTGTTTCCACTTCGGAAAGTCACCTTGTTCCACGTTCTTCCAAAAATGCATCCCTGAAATGAAGCAACTGTGCAACCCCAAGATCTGAACTGATGCCACTCACTTGTTTACACTGTGAATGGCCAAAGAGCAGAGGCAAAACTGAAGCACTCCCTGTTTTGTGCCTTCTGAGATGTTGATGCAAAGTGAGGAAGAGCATCTTTAATTTCCCCACAGGAGGGGAAAAAACACCTGTGTTCCTGCCTGCTCCTCAGAAGGGAAATATTTGTCCCCTTTGCCAGGTGCTGAACCCAACAGGACCCAGGATGACCCCAAATTCCAGCACTGCAGCTCACAGGGGCTCAGATGCTGCTTCAACAAGTGAAATCCCCCCCCAGGCTTCATCAGAGCTCAGCAAAACGAGCACACAGGGAAATGTACTGTGAGGGTGAGGAGGCCCTGGCACAGGTTGCCCAGAGAAGCTGTGGCTGCCCCTGGATCCCTGGAAGTGTCCAAGGCCAGGTTGGATGGGGCTTGGAGCAGTCTGGGCTAATGGAAGGTGTCCCTGCCCATGGCAGGGGGGTGGAATGGGATGATCTTGAAGGTCCCTTCAGACCCAAACCAGTCTGTGATTCTTTGGTGTCCCTACCCGTGGCAGAGGGTTAGAAAAGATGGTCTTTAAGGTCCCTTTCAACACAAACCACCTGTGACTCCATGAAATACCCCCGGCTGTTAGACCACCACCAGGAGCCCTGGCCATCAGGGGTCACACCGTGCTGCCCAGCCCTGGCACAGGGGATTCCACACAGCTCCTGCTCCTTTCCCTGGGGGTGTGGCTGAGCTGAGGGCTTTGGGGCATGGCCTGATGTTAATAGGTGGCCTCAAGGGGCAGCCTAGCAAGAGCCACGGTGTCTCTGCCAGCAGCAGTTGCCACATCAGCTGAGGTGTTTAATGGCCAGGGGATGAGGGAGCGGAAGCGCGAGCGGTCCTGTGCCAGCCGTGCCTGCTGCACACACTGCACAACGTGCTAATCCCCCACGGGGAGGGGGGGTTGGCACTCAGGACTGAAAGGCTTCTGCTGTTTGTGCCAAGTGGCAGAGCCGGACAGATCCCCCCAGGCAGCTCATGCTGACCAGAACCATCCCACTGGCTTTGGGACATTGGTGGTGGCCTTACTGTGGTATTCCAGTACCTGAAGGGGCTCCAAGAGAGCGGGAGAAGGACTCTGGATAAGGGTACCTAGTGATAGAACAAGGGAGAGTGGGTTTAAACTGACAGGGTGTAGGTTTAGACTGGATATTGGGAAGAAATTCCTTACTCTGAGGGTGGGGAGGCCCAGGCACAGGTTGCCCAGAGCAGATGTGGCTGCCCATCCCTGGAAGTGTCCAAGACCAGGCTGGACAGGGCTTGGAACAACCTGGTCTAGTGGAAGGTGTCCCAGCCCATGGAGATCATCACCACGAGATGATCTTTAAGGTCCCTCCAACCCAAACCATTCTGTGATTCCATGATTCCATGGGATGGCCATGGAAGCAGGCTGGTGGGGCACAGCCCACCTCTAACCCCCCAAAGACACCAAAAAGCAGAAGCACCTGAGTTATTCTGACTTTTATTTCATTGCTTCTTAGTCCACACAGTCGGTATAAAATCAGAAAAAGCAAAGCGGAAAAAAAAAAAAGTAGAACCCCAAAAAACCCCAAAATTAAACAAAAAAACAACAGCAAGAGTGTCTGGAGTCCTCAGAGGCAGCCTGGGGTCTGTGCTGGTGCCTGTTCAATTCATGGCCAGACACTTTGCTGACACAGACAGAGGACAGACATCTCGCTCTGGCACCGGGGAGCGACCGCTCCAGCCAGAGCTGTTTCTGTTCCTCTGCACCACGGAGGGGGAAAAAGGAACCTCGGTTATAAATGCTTTATTAAAAAGAATAGTAAGAGCAAATCTAAGTACAAAAGCAGTTATAGCTTACACAGAATTATTCCTCGCTTCTAGCTCGGTTGTTTCACCTCAAGGTCGTTAACTGAATTTCCAGTGACTAAGGTTAACTGGCTTAGCGGGGTAAGGAATGGTAAATAGATAGCACCATTTCATACAATCTGGGGGTTCCTCTCGGGGATTTGCTGGGTTGGATTCTTTCTCATGGGCAGCTTCGCTCCATGGCAAGGACAGAGCACGTTTTCACGGGTGGGAGCAGCAGTTCCTGGTGGCTCAGCCTGGCACGGCTTGGCACGGCTTGGCACACACCTCAACCCCACCAGAGGATGGCCCGGGCTGGATTGCAACTCAGCCTAAGTGATTTAAAGCCCAAATTCCCAGCGGGTGTGGTGGCAAGGCGATGGGACTTAGGCACGTAAGTCATTTAGGCACTTGAGGCAATCAAAGCCTTTGCTCCGGAATCCTTCCAACCCTTTGGAAGCGTCTCCCGTCAGATCTGGACGTGCACTTTGGTTACCAGGATCACAGCATGTGGCAGGAGCAGGGAGCAGCCCTCTGGCTGAGTAAACAGGCCTAACTCTGATTTACACCAGCCTGAAACCAGTCAGAGCCGGGGGGTTCTGACAGTTCAGCAGGGGCTGGGAGAGGGGAGGAGAGTTCAGCTCAGGGGGGATTTTGCACGAGAGAAGAAAATCACTGCGCTCTTGTTACACTGTTAGGAGTTATAGTTCCTTAGGCACTTGCTTCAGGCTTTAAAACAGCGCATGGTCAACAAAAGCAAACAAGACTATGTACATATATGTAAAAAGTGTTATAAATAGGTTTTTTAAACCATAGATACTATATACATCTTCAATTAACAAGTAACCCTTTGAGTGTTTCCTTTTGAGGGGGGGGTCGGTTGGGGTCGGGTTTGGTGGGAAGGTTTATTCCTTCTCTTTTTTTTGGGGGGTGGGGGTGGGTTTTGGGGGGGGGATGGGTGGGTGATGGTTTGTTTTTTGGTTTTTTTTTTTTGTTTGTTTTTGGTTAATTTTCTTTCCCGTTTTCTCGTCTATTTTCCCCCGCCTCCGTCTCCTCCGTGGACGCCACGCGTGCCCTTGTCCCACCCCAGCAGCGCCGGGCATCACTCGCGCTTCCGTAGGATGACGTAGATGATGCCGCTGGCCAGCGCCAGGGGGAAGGCCAGCCACGCCAGGATGTAGGCGAAGCCGTAGGTGGTGTTTTCCGAGGCTTGGTGCCAGTCCGTGTGCCTCACTGTGAAGATGGCAGCGCCGCTCATCACGCACAGCCCTGCCGGGAGCAACACAGGGAAGGGGTCAGTGATGCCACTGCTGCCTGAAACTTCTTACAAGAGATCATCCAGTCCAACCCTTGAGCCAACCCCGCCGTGGTTCCCAGCCCATGGCACTGATGCCACATCCAGTTTATCCTTGAACACCTCCAGGGACGGTGACTGCACCCCCTCCCTGGGCAGCCCATTCCAAGGGCTGAGCACTCTCTCTGTAAAAAAGTTCGTCCTGATATCCAACCTAAACCTCCCCTGGCACAGCTTGAGACCATAAGAAACCCCCTAACACTCGATTTGTGAGGTTTAGAAAGCAACATTCCCTCCTATCACAAGAATCTAATTTCTTCCAAAGCGTGCATAACTGAGTTACAAAAACCTCTTGCTTTTATTTACTTACCTAATTAACAATTCAAAGCATTACCTAATTAACAATTCAAAGCATTACCTAACACTGCTACACCCACTTCCAAAACCATCCCTCCCACCACCCTCACCACACCTCCCAAATCTGAGCTGGAAGTCCCAGAAGACCCCTATCCTCATCTCTTCATCCTCCTCCTCATCTCCTCTGTCCATTATACAGTCACATTATACAGCGTCGCACCTTCTGGAACAATTTCGAGGCTCCTGAGTAGCTCTGACTGCCTGTCAGGTGTTAAGTCTCTTTCTCAGTACATTTTCAGAGGTAAAAAAACTCTTTAGCTCATTCTGTTGAGGTTCTTAACAATGATAAACAGCATTTTAGGAATAGTGTACAAAGGTACTAACAAGCTAAGCTGGAAACTTGTACAATATGGGTTTTATGCCTATCCCACTGGAATGAGCCAGACAGGATGAGCCCCAACACCAGCATGGGAGGATGTTTATTATTGCCCCCTTGTATCCTGTCTCCTGGAAAACTGAGTATCTCCTGTCTCCTGATTTGGGGGATGATGCTGTTGGCTCTACAGGTGAGAGGGGGTATCTCTGCCATGCTCAGCAAGCAGATCCAGACCCTGGAGCAGACAAAGCTGGAGCACTGCCGGGGCTCACCCATCCCTTGGGCAACCCCAGGTCCAGCTGCTGCTCCAGACCAGCCCCACTGCTCTGGGTGGCTTGTTTAAAACTCAGGCTGCAGCCTGACCCACCTTCCTGAGGTGCTGCAAGAGGTCAGACATGAAACTGGGGTTTTTTTTAAGCAATAAAGTTTCTTTATCACCTGTCCAGGTAGTAAAGAACACAAAGAGCTGGGCCTCAGGGTGCTCTGGCTGAGCAGGTTCTGTGCCCTGTGATTTCCCCATCCTTCACGGCTGTGCCAGGAGTTCAGCTGGAAACCCCACTCCCTGCAAACCCCACTCCCTGCAAACCCCACTCCCTGAAAACCCCATTCCCTGAACACCTCACTCCCTGCAGACCCCATTCCCTGAAGATACCACACCCTGAAAACCCCATTTCCTGAAAATCACAGTCCTTTAAAACACTGTTTCCTGCAAACTCTGCTCCCAGCAAACCCCCCTCCCTGCAAACCCCACTCCCTGCAAACCCCACTCCCTGCAAACCCCACTCCCTGCAAACCCCACATCCTAAAAACCCCACTCTCTGAAAGCCCCATTGCCTTGAAAACCCTATTCCCTTGAAAAACCTCCCTGAAAACCCTGTTCCTTGAAAACCTCAGTAAACAGTCCCTGAAAACCCCAGTACCTTGAAACTCTACTCCTTGAAAACCCTGTTCCCTGAAAACCCCATTCCCTGAAAACCCTGTTCCTTTGAAAACCCCGTTCCGCTGCAAACCCTGTTCCTTGAAAACCCCACTCCCTACAAACACTGTTCCCAGCAAACCCCACTCCCTGCAAACCCCATTCCCAGCAAACCCCACTCCCTACAAACACTGTTCCCAGCAAACCCCACTCCCTGCAAGCCTCACTGTGCCCGTGGCTCGTCCCTCTTCCCCACTGCTGGCACCCACCCTGTCCAGCCAGGGGCCACTGTGGGTCCCCGAGGGGTGTCCAGCCAGGCCCAGCCCTGGCAGGCAGAGTTGAAGCTTTGTTGCAAAGCCCCCGTGAGCGCTGGGCTCACACAAAGCCACCTCTATTCCTGCCCGAAAACAAGCCCTTTTAGTCAATCCCAGCAGTTCCATTATACAGTCGTGGGGCTGTTGTTGGAGCCGAGTTCCAAATCCCCTGCACGGACCTCAGGACCACCTACATTTAACCACCGTGATATTTGAGCTGCAATTCCACTTGACACTGCTCCTTTTGTTCTGGGAAAGTGCACAAGTGGGAATACGCTTCAGGAAGGCGCTGCTGGAGCAGTTTCCATTCTGCCAGCACGGAGCCGACTCCCACTGCCCAGCCCATGCACAGAGAGCACAGCCATTGTCTGCCCGGCCTGTGGGACAGGGACGGGCGTGTGGCCACCCCAGTCACCTCCAGACAGCGAAAACACAGCAGCAATTGTCCCCAGGAGGAATTTGGCAGAAGGGAGGCGATGGCTGGGACTGCACTTGTACAGCATCTGCACTAGTTTGGGCATGGAGAACGTACTGGGAAGTGAGGGACAGCTGGATCCAGCTGCCTGCACCAATGAAAGCAATAATGCATCACCACTTTGGAGCAGGATTTTAAGAACGCTCTAGTCTTGCTTTGACAGGTCAGGAGGGCAAACGTGTCCTGGGATCTGTTCCCACAGGTCTGTGTGTGCTGGCGCTGCCCCAGCCCTGCAGAGGAACCAGGCTGGGCACTGGTGCCAGCTCCAGGTCGGCTCTCCAGACCCAGGGGTTTGCAAAAAGCTGTGGGATATGTGGCAGGCACAGCCCTCGAGGCTGAGCCCACCCTCTCCACCCCACAGCTCTAGGGTGGGAGGGCTGGGAGAGAAGGGATAGAAGTGACGATGAGGCTGGAGAAGAATGGAAAAGTTGGGTCAAACCCTGATAAATCCAAACCAATGTCTCTCCCAGGCTGGAATGACACAGCTGTGAGGAGTTACCCATGGATGTGGTTGACCCAGCAAAGGTGGAGGGTCAAGGGTCTTTTGTTGCCCTTTTGTCAGCTGCAAATCCCATCAGGGCAAATTCAAGTAGTCTTCATGATTCCAAGCAGTGTGGAGAAGGTGCTGGTGATGATCCTGCCTGGCCACTGCACAACAGACCCCACTGGCTTCATGCATCTCTTCTTGCCCTTCTCTCCACTCCCCACTGTCCCTGAGCTAAGCTGTAGTGGAAACCAGCCCCTGCCCTCCTCCCTGGCTCTCAGGACACCCCTACCAAGCTCTGCCACCCAACAGCACCCAGTGGTCCTGCCCCTGGCACCCACTGGTTCAGGTCCAGCACTGCTGTTTGCCAGGCTCCAAAACTGGAGACCTCCAGCCTTGCCAGGCTGCAGCACCCTGGGAGGAGGTGCAGGGTGATGGAGGGCTTCAGGCAGAGCCTCCTCATCCCCTCCCAGAAGGAGGAAGGTCCTCTCCAGCTCTGCTGCAGCTGAGAACAAAGCACTCGGGCGGGTAAGACCCCATCCCTGGCAGATCTGCTGCAGGGCTCTGTGGTGCCAGGGCTTGGCAAGGCATGGATGAACACCTGCAAAGCCTGAAGGCCTCAGGAACTTCCTTCCTTGGCTTCAGACAGCACTGGCTTTCTACCACAAGCTGCAAGGAGACCACATCAGGTTCAGCTCCTGTGACCAAAGCTGTCTGTACCTCCAGGGGCATCTCCTGGCAGCGCTGGCACTTTCCTACCAACAACCCTGAAATTTAGGGTCACAAAGATCACAGCTGTCCTGTGCCCCCTCCTCCAGCCCTGGAAGCTTCATGGGGATCAGGTCACACTTCTTCTGTCCTTCATACTGGCTGGGGATGGATTTGACCCACACCTCAGGCTCAGCAAGGAAAGACGCTGCATCCCTTTAGGACACCCAGCACAGCACGGACAGGAGGGCTGCAATCCCCATTTTCTCCTCCTCTGACAATGAGGATTCACCAGCAATCACTCAGGAGAGAGAAGCCTTCTGCTCCCAGGTCTATTAGACAGGCTCTCAGGCAGGTAATTGCATTATTAATGCCCATTTCCCTTCCTTGTCTCCATGGCTCTAATGGGTTTTCTACACCTTTCCAGAGATGCTGAACTGATCTGAACTCACCACCTGCATTATGGCCAAGCAGATGCACTTATCATAGATTTCATGCCAATAAAGGTTAGTTCTAAACTTCTTCAGGGTTTTTGAAGGCCAGGCACTTAGAGGATACTCAGAGACTTTGTCTATACCCAGTGGATGAGTTTTACCATTGACTTAGTGGGCTTGGGTGGCTTCTAGTTTAACATCTAAAGCTCTAGGAAATGATTAATCTCCTTCCCAGACACCCTGTCATAATGCAGCCAGAACCTTGAAGCACAATTAAATTTTTCTAGCCTGAACACTTGAAAATCCTCTCCACTGGTTTCGTATGTGGAAACATAAACAGAGTCAGAGGCTTTACAGCATCTATATTTGGGAACTGCAACATAGGACATGAACTGTGGCTCGTTTCCAGCACCAAGTTCTTTAAGAGTTAAAAATAGTAGCTGACAGTTCCAAGTCAGCTGGCTCAGCCTGCAGCTCCAGCAGCTCTTTGGTGATGTGGAAAGCACCAGGCCCCCTCATGGCAAGTTTATAAATAATCACTGGGTCCTCTTTTGCCAAAACAGGATTGTCAGGACTTCCCCCACCCCACCAGCAGCTGTGGAAGCCTCACCCAGACCGGCACAGGTGTGTCCCAGAGCCAGCACAGCCACCCAGGACCCTCCATGTCCCACCCTGAGCCCTGAGGAGAGCAGGCAGAGCCCTCAGTCTGGCAGCCCCCATGACCTGCTTGCCCCCAGCTCTGCCCCCAGTGGGTCTGATACCTTGTCCCTCTAAAACCTCCCTGGCTGGGGCAGCAACCCTCTTGCACCTTCCATGGTGCAAGGGCAGAAGAGCCTGGATATGCCCTGACAGACAGATCCCATCCTGGGCCGTGTGGGACCTTGACACACCCAAATTATTCCACCCCTCTTCCCTTCGCTAGACCGTGCAGGGACCAGCTCCATGGCCCTCCTGCCCCTGCACCCAGGGCTGTGCTCATTCCCACACCACTCTCTGTGCCTGGCAGCCCCATCCCCAGCAGTGACAGCCCCATCCCTCAGCCCCCACTCACCAGCAAGGATCTGGAAGACTCCGGTGATGTAGAACCTGCCGCCCTTGGTGAGCGTGAACAGCTGGCAGAAGAACAGGAACAGGGACAGGACGCTGAAGATGACGGAGAGGATCATCATGGCTTGGACAGACTGCAGCCATTCTGGGGACAGACAGACAGATGGACACCTCAGTGTGGGAACTGCACATCACAGCCCACCACTGCGCCCGTGGCCCTGGCACCAGGTCCTGTGCCACCATCCCACCCCTGGATCCCAGGGAGTTTGTTAACAGTGACAAACAGTGACAGGCTGGATGAGACCACATCCAGTGCTGCACCAGCTGGTGAGGTTCTCAGCGCTCAGCACGGACAGGATGCTCCCCAGGATTTAGGATGCCATGGGGTAAAACGAATTGCAGGGCTGGGCACTGCCTCAGGGAGCATTTCCCATTAAAGAGGAGCAGGGAGATTAGCCCTGACCTAAAGCCTGCAGAAGACAAAGCCTCTCTCCCCCAGCTCCATGCCAGGGCCTGGTTGTTCAGCTGTGCTACAAACACAAAGCCATGTGCAGCAAGCTGTGAGACACCGTGCTGGCCAAGCTCCGAGGGCAAATAAATACACAGGGAGTGAAAACACCCTCTGCCCTTGTGGAGTCAAACCTTTTGGAAGAGCCTTCCCCAGCTGCCAAACGCAGCTGCCTCCCAGAGCAGACCAGTTAAACCAGCCCCTGCATGACTCACTGCCCAGCTATTTCCAGGCTGAGTGGGTGTGTAACTCCCCACGCAAAAAAAAATACACATAAACAAGCAAAAGGAGGCTCCATCCCATGAGCTGCTGCAGCCTGACAGAAAGGGGCAGCTCCTGAGGGCCCCAGGATGGGGCCACGCTCACAAATACCTCTGCCTTCCCCTTTCCTTAGTAAGCCTGAAACCAAAATGTGTATTTGCAGCCTTCCTGGAGATGTCTCTGAGGATGCAACATCAATTAACTCATTGTGAAAACCAGCAGGACTCAGTTCGGGTAAAATGAGGCACAAACCACGCAGTGCAAGGCAGAAGAATCGTGCTTTGGGCTGGGTCCTCAGGTGGGATTAGGGAGTACTGAAGCCTCAGGCTCAGTTTTACTCCCACCAACTTCAGTTCCCTGACTGCAAGAACCAGCTTTCTGCAGCAAATAGCTGAAATGTAGCAAAACTCTCAAACGAAGCTGTGCTGTCACCTCCAACACCTGGAGCAGCAAATGAGGCCACTGGGACTGTCCAGGGCAGTGTCTGCTCCACAGAACTGACCACTCCTCCCCACTAAATCCCTGCAAGCTGCACTCAGGGAGGTGAGAGAGGAATTGGAACTGGAGAGCCAGGCACAGCCTTCAGCTGGGATGGCAATAATGCTCCGTGCCTGAGCCCTCCCAACAAATCCATGCCTGAGGGGAACATCCTGTGCCGCTCAGTCACGTCTGCTGTTTGACTTTGGACCAGCAATTCCGCCCCTTGTCTTTGCATCTTGCCTCAGGACGTTCATGTAATGGAGCAAACTCAGTCCCTGGAACCACCCAGAGAGGCCCCTGCTCATCCCAGACAGCCTTTTCCTTCCCCTCCTTGACACGCTTCCCGTGCCAAACTACTCTGCAGCATCAACAAGCTGCTGCACTTCACTCATTCCAGGGCACTGGGTTCCCCCTGCACCAGCTGCTGCCGTTCCTTAGGAAGGAGCAGCTACCACTGCTTCCAGGAAAGCCCTGTGTGGTGGGATGTGCACACAAATATCCAATATATTTCATCTATCTCACGCAGCCGGGCAGGGAAACCCCCTTGCCTCACCCCCACCTGCCCCTTCAGCTCTGGCCATGAGCCACCTCTGGGAAACAGGGATGAGGCAGATCCAGCACCACCAAAAATCATCATATCAGAAGGGATTGGGGAAGTGGGTAGGTGGTGCAGCTGCTGAACTGCAATCTCCCTCCACACTTCAGCACAGAAAGACTCTCATCCCAGCTCTGGGAAGCTGAGCTTTCCTCTCACCCTTTCCCAAGCCCTGAAGCCACGTCCAGCCCCGTGCACTGGCTGAGCCAAAGTCAAGCCCTGCAGTTTCATCCAGGCCCCAGAAAGCCAAGTCTTTTGTGATTTCAAAGGCCACGGGATCCGGGCCGGAGAGGAGCCCTTTCTGCTCGGAGGTGGATGCTCCAACTGCTGGTTATTTTCGGAGAAGTCTGTCTAGACAGAAAGCTGAGCTGAGCTGAGCTGCCCTTTAATTGCATCCGCCTCCCCGTGCCTGTTTTTTGGTTCTGAATGCAAATGATTTATAGGGGCTTTGCAAAATCCCGTTGTAATAAAGGGCAGTGCCAGAGGAATATAAAAGTGGGCACTGAGGGGGGAGCCCATCGGGGCCAGAGGGTTTCTGCAGCCAGAGAGCAGTGAGCCTGTGAGCAGGGAAACCAAGAGACAATTCCACAGACCAGAGCTCTGAACCCGCTCACATCCAGCCCTTTGCTGACTTTGATTGGCCTCCTTTGTGAGAACAAGGGGCAGCATCCCCAGCCCAGGACTCAGAGATCCAACAAGCTGCTCTTCTCCTTTAGCTCCAAGCCCAGCTTACCACAGACTTCAGCTGTGTTAGGACAGCTAATTGCCTGTAATTCGTTTAAAATCAGCCTATAAGTGCAGATCGATTTTCACCTCCTCAGCCCCACACCCTTTTAACTCCTTTGCTGTCAGTGCCGTGTCCTGCCCACAGCCCTTCCCAAACACAGCGAGTTTCCCGGAGGGAGGCCGGCCCCGGGAGCTGCCCCACGGGCTGTCAGCACTGTTTACTCCCAGCCCGTTATTTGTGGTTTCCCCTGGCCAGCAAGTCGGTTGCTCCATTTTTCTCCTGCATCTCTGCTGCTCTGTGTTTGTATCTTTGTTCTTCAGGAGGAGGAAGAAAAGGAAGCAGCGTGGAAAGGACAGATAACACCCTGCATGCTGCTTCCGGAGAGGACCCGTCGGGAGGGGCTTTACAGCCCTTTCAGAGCAGTCAGAAACAAAGCAAGAAGTTTTTACAGAATAAATTCGAATTTTCCCCGAAGTTCTGCAAGCCCTGATGTGCCCACACCACTGCTGACAACAGCAGGGAAGAGACTTCGCCCCTGGGATGCTGAAGAACACATTTCACTACCCTAAAGTCCAACAGGAAAGAAAGAAACCCAGAGAAGAAACTGGTACCTAGAGCAGAAATTGCAGCTGAATCCCACAGAAATACAGCAGCAAACACAACCCCTTCCAGCAGAGCCCCAGCCCTGCTTGCAGGGAGGTTTTATACCCAGACAGGACTGACAGGGAGAAACATGCCCACGGCCTTAAAGGACAGGCATTGCCTCCCCAGGGTTTAATCACACACCCCCCACCCTCTTTGGACCCAGCCAAGGAAAAAGAATGAAATGCAAACTGCAAAGACACTTATTTGAGCAATCACCTTATTCCATCACTGTAAAACATCATTAAATTAGTGCTGGGCTTTAAAAGCACCTGAGTGCTGGGACCTGCCACTGATGGGAATATTTTGCAGATAGATTTTCCCTTTGCAAACTGTGTATGCACTCTACACTTAAAAAGCAACCACTTCTGGGGAGGAAAACATCTATGAAGGAGGTAATTGTAGCAATTATAATATATACAAAGCTAGAGGGAGGGGAAATTCATGATCAACAACTGCATGGTAAAACCTGCCCCTTCAATGCTGCAAACTAAATATCAGCAGGGTCAGGAACAGCACAAAGTTACCAGCCTGGTCTGCCAGGAAAAGCCATGTTTTCTGAGCAGAATTGCCAGAGCAGACTCCCAGGTTTCAAGGTCTGACCAAGAACCTGAACCCAGCTCACATCTTTGGCCTATAAAGTGGAGAGGTGGCATCAAAGCAGCTGGTTTGATATTGAAACACCCCTTAAGAGGGCTGGAAAAGGCTGAGCTGAAGATGCAGAAATATCAGTTTAATTGCCTCATTCTTCTGGGGCTGCACTTCAGACCAAGGCCCCTCAGCAACTCGCTGAAGCAGCTCAGAAAGCCAAAAAGGCTCAGCCCCTGCAGTGCTGTTCCTGCACTGCCCAGACCCCTCTGCTGCCTCCCACACCCCAGAGCTCCAAGGGAACATCTCTCCTGTTGGGGAGAACAGCATCACAGGCCATCCAGCAGAGCCTCTGAGCTCTGCTCAGATTCCCTGGGATTTCCCAGGGAAATCCAGCTCCATGACATTGCAACTTTATCCTGCTTTGGCCCCAGACCTCCCCCAGGCACACAGTCAAACCCACCCCAGCTGGTGCTGCTGGATGCTCAAACCAGGTTTTGTACCCAAAAGACCACAGGGTGCTGGACTGAGGCATTCCTGGAAATCCCACTGGAAAAGGGCTCCCAAGGTGTTTGTGAGGGCTGGGGGATGAGAGGGTGGGAAACGCCAGCGCTGCAAGGAGGTAATGAATGAACACAGTGCTGTAATTCCTGCCCCTGGAGAGACCTCCTGGGTCTCTTCTGCAGCCCCTTCAGAAGGAGATGAACCTCTCAAACCTCTGTTTTCTCCTCTCCTCCTCTTTTCCTCTTGGCTCTCCTCCCTTTGCCTTCTCCTTGGAGCTCCATCCAGGCAGTCCATGAGGCCAAGCTGTCCATAGCTCTCCAGAGCTGCCACACTCAGACATCCCATCACACCATCAAAGCTCACGTCCCACAGGGGCAACCTCTGGTGCAGCTGAGGCAGCAGAAAGCTCTGGCACCATGAAAAGCACCTTCCAACAGCTCCACAAAGCCCAAGCCAGCTCCTCTCCAAGACCCTCGGCGTGGTGGCTCTGGCTCCCTTTGGCTGGTGTGTGAGAGTGAGCTGAGGTGGCAGATCCATCACTCCAGGCTCAGATCCTCCAAAGGGCTTAGGTACCAGCTCCCAGGGATTTCAAGTCCAGGCAGCAGGAGCAGGGATGGGCAGTGGTGGTGCCCTGACCCACAGGCACATTGCAGGGGGACACTCAGCCTGTGGCCTCAGGGACATCCAAGAGTCTCATCAAGGCCAAAAAAATGTTGGATTAAGGGTTTTACAAGCACTGCACTCTGCAGGGGACTCCCTCATTCATTCTTCTGGTTTGACAGTCATCGTTAGCCCACAGGTCACCTTCGTCCTTCCTTTCACTCCTCTTCCATGGCCAGA